GACAGACAGATAGATAGATAGATAGATAGATAGATAGATAGATAGATAGATAGATAGATAGATAGATAGATTTCACACAGAGTCCCTATTGTTTTTTGATTTTTAGCATTAGCACATGTTTGGTCCCTGAGTCTCTGTGGCTTTAACGATGGCAGACATTAATGTCTGAGCAGGTCTGGTATTAGCCGGCCCCGTGCTCTCGGGTTTCATTATCGCAGGGGCTCGTTGGCCTCTGCCCTGCCCCTGCTGAGAGGGTTAAATGTAGGAGGGAGAATCGGCCCACAGTCTCTGTGGGGTTGAGATGGGGAACAGCTGCCTGGGGGGACCGGGGCCCCTTCCTCACCTCCCTCTCTCTCCCTCTCTCTCTCGGCCTTGACATTCCTGAGTGTGAGAGTAATTCCTGATGATTATCTCATTGTCCTACTCAATTTGGGATCAGACACACTGCTTCCAGGTCAAACACGGTGTGACCGTGTAACCTCCAGTATCAGCTGTACCGAGGGAGAGATTACGCTCATCTAAGACCACATAAAAACACAAGCGGGCACAAAATCCTCACAAAGCACAACCTTGTGAGCTGGTCACACATAGGTACGCACACATGAGTAACCTGGGTGACAAGAAACACTAGTGTTTTTGTGCAAAGTAGAGGACAGGGTGCAGGAGAAAGGGGTCGGAGAAGTGTTGTCAGGGTTTGAGATTAACTGGAGTTGGCAGCTGCCCCCAACTCCATTGCCTTGCCTCAGATGGAGGAGATATTGGGTTACAGAGGCATGCATCCCACACCGGATGGGGTTCAGCACTTAACGATGGAGCCAAAGATGTGAGAGAACCAACTGGAACTCACCTGTATACACAAATCGCCCCGGTGCACCTTTGCAGAACTGCTTGGACTTGTAGGACAAGGTGACCTCTACGACGCCTGGGATGTGTCTCGGAGGGGTCTGCACTCGGATGGCATGGGGCGTAATGAGCTACGAGAGACAATGGGTAAAGTTGGTTAGGACCATGCAAACTGCACCAATTGCTGCATTGTTTTGAACAACTGGCATCCAATGAAAACATTTAACCAATGAGCGCCAGTGTTTCTCTAATTGTCAAGTAGCCTGTCAGGCAGAAACTATACCCTTTAAAACACTTCAAAACTCTTCAAAAAATGTTTCTTGTTGTTTGAGGAGTTTTACTTACACAGCTCAGAAATACGGCATTACCAGACAGTGGGCAAACTAGGTTAGGATCCTGCCAATTGTTGCACAAATTCGAATGCCTGAATCGTACATTAACCTGTCAAGGAGAAGCTATTCAAAACCGAACTGCAAACTTTCTTCATTTTTATTTTCCTCGCTTTAGAGTTAATGTCAGCAAACAGAACTTGGATTACACTGAGCCAAGGAAAGGCCAAGGGGCAGGAGTCCTGCTAAAATCACCTCCATATGTCTTTCCTTCACTGTTTTCCTTGCTTTCCCTGGCTTGTTTTTCCCCCTCTGAGATATTTCACCCCTAATTGTTCAATTGTTTTGAAAGACCTCACGGTTCTGCAAGGAACGCCGCGGAGGCCTCTGTGGACTTATTGTGGGGCTGTTTAGCATGTAGTTTGTTTATCTAACTCCTTATCTGCTCTTGTGATTAGACTAGGAAAGGAAAAATAATAAAATAAAATTGAATAAACAAATGCTGATTGGCTCGTTGAGGCTTCAACCGGCAAATATATGCCAGACAGTTTTATCAACTCATAAAGGAACATACTAACCTGAAGTCTTTATTAGCTCTGAACTAATTACGACGCAGCTTCGGCATCCCTTTAGTTCACTCTTATTTATATGTTTATGTGGCGTGAAATGAACAAAAAGTAAATGTAAAGAGACAATAAAACGGACGCCAGCGTAATTGCATTAAACCGGTAGAAGCAGGGCTTCATAAACTGTGCATAATCACAGTTTTCACATAATCACTTTTTATAGAATCTAATGAAGTTCATTAGAAGGCTGTTACAGAAACAAATGGCTGGGTAAATATCTCATTCACAATAAAATGGATTTATGCCAAAGTGTTACCTCACTCCATACTAGCATGGTGCCAAACACGACCTGTAGTCCATCGAAGAAGTTATCGCCAATGATGATGACCGTGGCTCCTCCAGTGGTCCAACCTTCACTGGGGCTAATGGCCTTTATGCATGGGGTAGCTGCTTATAACAGGACAAAAAGCACAACTCTCAGGATCCCGCTTTTGTACAGACACACGCTAGCCACATGCAGTTCATTCTCACGCTGAGGATAATCAATCCCTAAAGTAAACAGAGCATGAATGATTTGGGCCACGTAAAGACAAAAGGCCTGCTTTGTGCATCAAACCTTCTGTGTAGAAATCAGCCATTAAACTGTTCGCTAACACAATGAGAGGGAAAAGAAAACATCGACTGATGTGCCTAGTGCCCATTTAGCAGATAAACCGCCATACGGATACGTTAGACCAAATGCGGCCATTACTGATGATTAAGCACTGTGCACGCTAGGACCGTAGATTTATCTGTCTGGTTTTCACAGATCTGAGATCAGTCAATCACAAGGTTGTGGGGCAAAGCACGGGCAGAGAGCGCATAAAAGCGGGGTTTCGATTTTTCATGCATCCTCTAATTGGGTCGAGCCTTTTCATCCGCAAACTTCGCCTTTGGTTTACAAACTTCCAACCCTTTCTCAATCTCCCTGGGTCTCTTATCTTTTGGTAATGAATACTTATATTACTGATTTTAGAGAAGATGAGATGGGATTTGTAGGTTTACGATTTAAATCGGCAAGCTATCATGCTAATGCTGACGTATATGTGTTCTTAAATGAGAAAATGAGGTTGTGGCCTTGACCCCTCCTTTGTCATGAAGTTAGCCAATGGCTTATTAGCGTACATTATTGTACTGCCCCCCTCCACCCCTGCGGAGTCGAGAGGTGCTATCACAGTTGTAAGCGGTCGGAGGCCCAGGGCGACTCGACCCCCCGTTAACATCTTAGCGCTGCGCGCTTTGATCAGCTTTTCCACTTCACTCTGTTGACTCTGTTCCGCCACCCCCTCCAAAGCACCTTTTGAATACGAACTCCAGTGCAAAGAGAGCGCGGATACAACAACACGCCTCTAATACTGTCCAACAATTCAACCGCAACAGTAGCCCTTCACCTTGAGCTGTTTTCATTTTATTTTACAGCTTTCCCTGCCCACTCCCTTCATTTGGTTTCCAGGGAAAAAACAAAGGCATTGTGCTTTTAGATTTTAAAGTCTCAGGGAGGTTATTAATAATGCACAGAAGATGGCTGGCCTCTTTGGAAGCCCTCTCGGCTTAGAATCTTTCCCCTCCATTAAAAGTGTCTGACATCATTTTCATCAGCCCACATACTCTGACATCATTTTATCACCAACAATATTCAATACGCCACTTATGCCAATACTAATGCTGGTCTCACAGTTGTTTTTTTTTATAATTATAATCCTATGTATTATATATTACAAATATTTACAATTTATATAAATAAAACTATATTTAAAATGAAATATGTTATTTATTTATATTATTTATATAATAGTTTTATAAATAAAATACATATTATAAATTATTATTAATTTAATTTGATATTAATATTTTTTAAATCATTTGTTGATTAATATATTTAAGGAATAATTTAAAATGGGATGCTATATTATTGAGAAATATTAAAATCATATCATAAATCATAAAATATGACTATATAAAAATTCTTAAATTAAACATTTTAAAAAGGAGACCTCAAGGTCTCAATGATAATCTAGTCACTATATTTTCTTTGGGGTCCAAAACTAGGAGACTTGTTTGCTTGTTTAATACTTCACAAGGTGAATAATAGAAGTCGTATCGCTGGTCTGGGACATACTACATATTACATATTAAATACTTAAGGTTAGGGGTTGTTCATGTACTTCTTAAGCTCCACTAATAACACAATAAATTATATATTTATGACCGTTACATGAGGTAAACCTGCAGGGTTAAGCCCTTATGTGTGCAGGTCTTTCTCTTTCTTGCATCTCTGCTGTTCTGGCGGCTCTAGTTAATCAACATTAGGTATTGTTGTGTAGAACAGCCCAGACAAGGCAGCTCTCTTTGTTTGCCTTAATGTTGGACTAGTGGAGGTTATATTTACTCATTCCTCTCAGCTCCCAGAGCACCAGAAGCCCTTAGCTCGCTCACACACACACTGGGAGCTTGCCCTTAACTAGAGCTGTTGACTTCATGCTAATAAGTTCATACAAATTTTCATTTCTGAGGCTTGGGAATGACATTTGCTTTTCTTAATTGCAGGCAGAGCGTTTGAAAGAGGATCAAGTCTCTAAAGACAGACAAGACTCCTCATAGGGACTGACCTTCATCAGCGCAACCAATTATAGCAAATCATTCACCAAAAATTACAGTAAACAAATTTACTTTGTGTAGGTGAGCAGAAGGAAGGGAGTGTGTGCACGTGAGCATGTCTGCGCGTGCATGTGAGGTGAGAACGAGCCCACGAGAGGGACAGTCTGGCAGCTGTGGTCTGAGATCACCACGCATTGCCTCGGAATTCGCAACGCTCCCCCCCGACATCCTAGAGAAAGGGCTGCCAGACCTCTCGCCCCTCCACCATGGAGCATTTGCATACATTCTGCGTGAATATAGAGAGGGAACATGTGTTGAATGGGAAGCATAAAGGAGTAAATTACACAGCCTGTGTTCATCAGCTAATGATATAAGTGCGAAATGCACTCAAGCGGATGATGGAAACTGGAGAAAGCAGACATGGTCTATGGCGGCCCGGAGAGGCCAAGTTCAACACTCCACTAGGAAGTGACGGCAGGAACATGTTTTAACAAGGGAGAACAATTTAGCAGGGGATGTAGTTTGGTCTGTTAGCATACTAACATTACATGGACTATCCCACAATACATTTAATATTTTTTTTATTAAAACATATATATATATATATATATATATATATATATATATATATTGCTGCAACAGATACTACATTTTTACACACATATTCCAATATGCTGATTGGATGCCACTCACATGCAAAATGATGAGATCATGTGATTAAAAATATGGCATACTATTGTTTGAAGTGTTTACTGTTCACCATTTCACTATTTGTAAAAAATTATTATCCAGTATATGTGTGCATGTTATTGGGACTATAAATCAATGAAAGGTGGTAAAGTTCATAATAGCATAATGACGAATGCTAAATAAATAAAAAAAATAGTATTGAAAGAAGGAATCTGCATGCATGCATGTATGTATAAATGCATTGAATAATTTTTTGGTAGTTCTTTACGCTCAGAGAAATCGCTGGCTTTGTTTCGACAGGCTTCCTCTGGCTGAAGTGGACGATCAACAAGCAAGACTGTGTGTGTGTGTGTGTGTTTTCCCGTGTGTATTGTTTACAGAACACCACGGCGTCTTGGTGTGAAGCTTTAATCAGACTTGAGTCGTCTTCCATGGCAACATGGCGGCCGGCGTGTTTGTCACCTTCTTCGCTGCACTCCCCAATATTGAGGCACTCTAACAGGTCCCATCCTGCCTGCTGCAACCTTCCTTTGTTCCAGCGCGTAAAATGTCTTGTAATTGTGCAGGGGATGTCCAGATGGCAGGCTGATCCCGGCGCTGATGGGATTAGAGCTCTTACCTCACGTCGGCCCATCTGTCCTCTCTAACTGACTACGACCTCACAGACGCCGACCGCTCGTCTTTATTGCATAAACCTAACAACATTACCGCCACTTGGTATGCAAATCAACCCGGAGCTGTAGGCCCAGACCGGAGGGGGTGCGTGCACCGCAAGAGAGACTTTCTTTTGCTTGCACTAAATGTCTTCCTCCTCTTTTCTGTCTTGTGCATCGCTATATTCGCAGAACCAACGCTAGGCGGTTTCCAAATCTGGGAATATGTGCTTTTGGACAAGGGAGGGGGTTGTCGATTGTGTATATTGTGTCTGGCTATGCGCAGATGGGGCTGTTTTGGATGCGAGCGCATGCGCGCACGTTCGCGCCTGTGTGAATTCGTACATATGTTTCTGCATGGCGTAACTAAATGGCGCTAATGCAAAAGAAACCCTCCTATAGTGTGCGCTCGCCTCTTTCTCCTCCCCCAGGTTTCTTTCTCCAGCTGTAATAATGAAAGGGGCTCATGTGCTCGGAGAGCAGGGCAACGGTGAGGGTCCGCTGGGCCATGCGAGAGGGGATTACTTTAAGTTGAAGATCAGAAGGCAGAGTAAATTCACTGTCCGGGAAAATTCGCCTGAATTAGATGATTAGATAAAAGTGTGAGAGGAAAGGAGAAACGGTAGGACCTCCCTGTGGCCGCTTTCGAGCTCTCTCGGCTTGCATTTATCACTTTCAAGAATGTGTTTCTAATCTAAACCACCCTGTATCTGCGGCACAGGCCCGGACTTGACCGTAAATATGGATGAATTTTTATTTTACGACTATATATCCTGTACATGTGTGCTAGAAGCTCTTCTAGACCAGAATGGAAAGAGATGACAGGTTGAACCTTTCTCATATTTCCTTCTCAGCCGAATGATAAGTCTTAAATGGTCTCCCGAGTTTAAAGAAGTGATTAAACGCCAAGTTCGGCAACTGTCAGATGCTAGGAAACTCTTTCTTTCTGTTTAACGGCCCCCTGGTTGCCCTTAAAGGGCCAGATATTAGACAGGTAGCTGTAATATTCACTACAGCGCAAATTTGCCATCAGGGGCGGGTGAAACAGCAGGTAACTAAGTGGTGAGAGCGTACGTCTGCGAGGCCGGTGGGTGTTTAAGGAGAAGGTGAGCTTTTAAAACAGTCGGAAATTTAGTTGTCAGGAATATCGCCACCACTTGTTACAGTGCTGTCAGAATTCACCGCGAGAGGGAACGGATTCATTTAAATTTGACCGTGAATATCGTATGCAAGGCCTAACGATATAAAGTTTTGATGAAAACGATAAAAATCACAAATCTAAAACATACTTTCTCCGTGCACAATAAAACCACTGAAATCCGAACTATACGATGGTTGTAAACACAGTAATGGAAGCTTAGAAAAAGATTTACAATAAAAACGGCTCTGCAAACCGGGCTTTGATGAAGGATAGCCTTGGCAGTGTTTGGGTTGGGCCGTGTTTTTTCTTTCTTTCTCCCCCTCGGTCTCACGGGACTCAGGCAGACGAGGGGAGAGGCCTCAACCTTCTTAATTGCTCTCCTAATTAAAGGCGGTTGCTAAGGAAAACACACCTACTATCAAGCGACTACAGCGGAGAGACAAACAATACGTCAGCATACCAAACACTCGAGTGCTCAGGGCACAATTACGCTACTTCTGTACTGCGTTTCACCGACGTTAATGCGAGAAGCCGGGAAATAGAAAACAAATATTTTTTGCTTGGTTTTTTGTCTCACACGAGCAGGGATTTGATGCGATTTCTCTTGCATCATTAAATATTACTGGCGCTTTGGTTGATATGGTAATTACGGACTGATTAAGACAAAGAAAATACTAATGTTATGCTTTTAAATGAGCAGAGATTATGTTATTAGATTGTGTTTTAATGCTTAGCCCAGAGATCTGAGTACTGAAGTAGAGTGATCAAAACCAGCTCAGTCTAACAAAGCAGCAAAATCTGAATTTTACCATCCAGTGACTTGCTTTATACCTTTAAGAAACGAAAAACTCCTTGTATAAAGGTACAGTGTTAATTAAAACCAAGCCCGGATGAAATCTGAATTTGAATATTCATGGTAAAATGCAGACATGAAGGTATATTCAAATGAACCCATGAGACCAAAATCACACCACACTTGATTTAAGATATAATCTTCAGAATTATAAAAAAAAAACTTCAAAACTATTGAAGAGACTTGAAAAACGTGGCCCAAAATCATTCATAAAAAATAGCTAAAACTCTAAAAAATGAGTACAGCAACATCAATAATAATATTAACGATAAAAATAGTGAATTAGTCAGGTAGCAACATAAAATCTAAACTAAAGAGTTCTAAAAGTACTATTCAGTGAACAGAGAAAGCATGAATATTCTCTAAAAGATGAACAAGCCATGTTTCCTCTAAAGCTTCACTACTATGTTTTGTGGAAGGAGGATGTGTATGACTAAAAAAATGTGTGCTAAAAATGCGAAAAAGGGAAAAGGGAAAGGCAGGAAAATAGAAGGAGAAAGTGAGAAAAGCTCAGCAAATAATAGTGTTATGGGAAATGTGCCTACCATTCTCCAGATAAGGAGTGGCCGTACCTTCTGAGGGGTCAAGGCGGCGGGCTCTTCTGCCGTGTTTTGAGTTGTTGTGGACGAACATGTTGTCCGACACGGCCAACACGTGACCGTCCACATTAACCGTTGTCGATACAACGACCTGTGAAGAAAATGTAAGGATTGTTTGAAGGCATGTTCCATCTCTGGGCAATGTGTGAAGAAGAAGTTCATAGAGAAGTACTGCTTCACATTATTCCTATGAAGAATTCTGACTTGGTATGAATTGGTATTTAAAAATTAACCATCACGATCTAAATAATATTGAATATATTAAATATTATAAACTGAAAAATTTAATTTTAAACAAACTCAAAACGGTTCTAAATTTAAAAAAAAATGCAGAAGATGTAAACTATTTTTGAATTCGGTATGATAGAGTTTGCAGAAATCCATTATTTCACATTAAAATCATGTTGCACATGTTTTTCTTGCCAAAAAATATGAACTTGATGCAAAAAGACTCAACTAAATGAAACATTTGGCGTCCAAAAATATCAGGCCTGTTTTTTTTTTGTTTTTGTTTTTTTTTACTTGAGGCCTTTCTGAGTACTTAAAGGCCAGAGAAACAACAAGGACACTTCTGAGGGGTTCTGCCGGGTCTTTATCAGAAACCGAGGCTCTTTTTTCAGCTCCCTCTTTGTTGTGGGTCTTATTTGCGAGAAAACAAACACAAAAAGCCTTTTTGGCCTGTGGTGTCAACTCAACATGAGAGGAGGTCTCAGTACAGTTAGCGGATGAACCCAGCACCCCTCTGATCAGTAGGGTCCTTTGGACACGGACACACACGCGCCACACACACCGCGTTCGTGGCTTTGTTTGTTTGACTTCTCTCCTCCGTACCAGTGAGGCTTTATTTTGAATGCTGACAACCGTGCGACCACTCCACACCTTCGAAACAATAACCGCAAACACATTTGCCTCGCTAAGCGCTGGAGCTTGAACCCGTGCCCATTGTTTATTTTCCAAGCCAAGCAGGAGGGAGCGAAACAAGGGAAAAGTTGCTCGCTTTTGCAGTCTTACTAGGTTTGGTGGAACTGCTCCCTGCGGGCTTCACATTATTAAAACAATAAGTTATATCACTATAATCCGAAAAAAGAGTGTTTTCACACCTTAAGCAACGAAAGATGACTTGCGCGGTTCAATACGCTTAGTGTAAGCTGGCACGCCGTCTGACTGCTAATGACCCAGCCTGAATTCGAACAGGCTACTGTTAGCTACGGCTGAAATCTGCTTAGAAACGTCCAAATAAAGACGTTCACTTCAAATAATCAGATTAATGCGTACACATTTGACATGCTTGCAAATGGGTTTTGTACTTTTCCAAAAATGGAGTACACTAATTCTGGGTGTCAAACATGAAATTATATTCGCTTAATGAAGGTGAAAAATGTTTAACATCATCTAATTCTGGTCCTCGGACGCAATAGGTCATTGTATTTCTTTCTCCAAACGAACCACCATGCAGGAATCGACTCTATATAAAGTGCATTTAATTTCTCATTTGAAGAATATAATTAACCTTTGTAAGAAGGAGAGCTTCTTTTTTCCTATTTAAAGGAGACACTTGGGCGGTTACATGAGTGTGCGTGTTAGATAAAGGACGAGAGGCTTGTCTGAGAAGAACTAGCCAAGCCCTTGTCAATCAAAGAGAGGCCTCCATTCTGAAGCACTGTGGCTTTTTTTCCACAAAAGGCTACAATTAGTGTTTAATCTGCCACTTAAGGTGAACAGAAATATGTGGAGAGTCTCTCATCTGCTCCATCATCCATTAGCAGCCACTCAATCGCAGCCTCCGGCCCACAGATCGCTACCTCACCCCATTACATTGATCTATAGATTTATTGATTAGCTTTTTTATCTTATTAGTCACAGCTTGAGTAAGGGCCGTGATGGAGAAGGGTGGCAGATCCTCAAAAGAAAGAGAATTTGAGAAGAGCCCCTCTGGTAGCAGATGAGGGGGTTTTCTTTGTTTTTTGTTGATCTGTTTATTAAAGAGGGCTGCCCATACAGTTGCATTGAGAGAATGATGGTCATTTAGCATCTGAATGAGGAGAGGGGTTCGAGGGGTGGGCTGCGGTGTTGTGGGGGGTCCGAGGTGGAAGTGGAGCAGTTACAATCTGGAATATTCCCTCTGTCACGATCACAGTCAAGAGTCACAATAAGGATGGGACTTGAGGCCTATTCACAACAAATAAGATGCAATTAATGTTCACAAACTATTTTTGCAATACCAAATCTCTTGGATAAAATTTGGATATTGAAATTAATTATTTAGCATTGAACCAATTTAAAAACTGACCAAAAATCTGAATAGAAAATGCAAATAGTAAATAACATTTTAAAAGGTAATGATTCTAAATAAAATTGAATTGTAAAATAATTAAAATATATGTATATTTTCCAAAAAATTAATTTGGAATAAAAAAAAATAAAAACAAACCTGAACCAAAAATGGATAGATACTGTTTGTACTGTTTGGATACTGAAATGAATTATTTAGCATCAAAATAATTTAAAAATTGACCAAAAATCTGGAAAATAAATAATGTAATAATAAATAAAATAATAATGATAAATAAAATATATATTATAAATAAAATCATAAATTATTAGATAAATAGTATTAATCAATAAACAAAATATAAATTATTATTTTTAAACATAATTAAAAAAAAAATACTTGGAGTGTGAAGAAAAACTAACTAAAAAAAAATATTATAAATAAAATCATAAATTATTAGATAAATAGTATTAATCAATAAACAAAATATAAATTATTATTTTTAAACATAATTAAAAAAAAAATACTTGGAGTGTGAAGAAAAACTAACTGAATAATAAAAAAAAAATAAAAAAACAGATGGTGGTTACATATTTCTAATTAGGTTCAGAAGCCTTTTTTTGCACTAAATATAATTGCGGATGTCCGTCCTGTCAAAAAGACCTCTAGATGTATACTTCTCACAGGAAGAATAGAGGAAAAGACAGGACGACAGGAAAAAAGAGAAGGAAAATGGAATGGCAAATGAGGGAAGACAGAGACCCCAAAAGCACGACCTTGCCATGAGATCATGGAGTAAGGAACATGAGTGAAATTTATTCTGGAGGTGGCATTTAGCTTAGCAGAGCAGAGTTTAAGGGTTAGCGCTGGAGGAGAGGTGTCTTGTTAATGGACTCTGCTCACAGACTGACAGGCATCACGGCTTTGGGTCATTTATCTCACAGGCTGCTTTTGGTTGGAAAAGTGATGCTGTCATAAGCTCTCCCCGCAGGGTTCTTTAAATTATTTTGAGTAAAAACACCACAATGTGGAGTGTAGAAGGAAATGTTTTGGTTGTGAGGGGTGATGTTTCCCTGAAGGAAGTTTTTAGGAGATAAGAACACACACACACACACACACACACACACACACACACACACACCTCCAGCAGGTGCTGAGGCAGAGGAAGTGTAAATAGGTTGAAAACCCAGACATGCTGTTACAGCGAGAGAAAGAGAGGTCCAGTGGCTTTATTGTGTGGAGGCACATCCGCGGTGACGGATGTTTCTTTTACTCGGCGTGCAGACAGAAAGGACACTTCCTCTCACACCGGCTCTGACCTTCTGCTCTGGAAGCATGGATCAATATCAGTGAAGACACTTGACGTCCCAAAGCATGAAAAATGAAAGTTGTGCAAACGGCTGCACCACTGTTGCCTGCTCGATAATACATCTATATAACCGCAAGTATATAAACACACATCCTCACAGCACTGGGTTAAGCGGAGCTGTCATACACACACACACACACACACACACACACACACACACACACACACACACACACACACATAATACA